GCGTCGAGGCTGCACGCGCCGCCGCAGACAGTGGTGATTTTGCGCTGTATATCAGCGCGCAGGGCGGGGCAAATGTTCCGCGCGATTGTCAGACTGTCAGGGTTGCCCGTAGTCCGTCGGATGAAGTTAACGAGTACGAGGAAGAAGTCGAGAGAGTGGTCGGCATTTACGCGCCGCATCTCGGCGCGCGTCATATTCATATCACCAGAACGACGGACTGGCGCATTGTTCCGAAAGTGCCGGTCGTTGAGCCTTTGACTTTAAAAAGCGGCATCGCCGCGCCTCGGAGTCCTGTCAATAACTGTGGAAAGCTCACCGGTGGTGATACTTCGTTACCGGCCCCCACACCTTCTGAACACGCCGCAGCAGTGCTTAATCTGGTTGATGACGGTGTTATCGAATGGAATGACCCGGAGGTCGTGAGGGCGCTCAGGGGCGCATTAAAACACGGACAGAGAAGACCAAACTGTCAGCAAAGAAACGGAAGCACGTTAAAACCGCATGAAATTGCGCCATCGGCCAGACTGACCCGGTCGGAACGAATGCAAATCACCCGTATCCGCGTTGACCTTGCTCAGAACGGTATCAGGCCGCAGCGATGGGAGCTTGAGGCGCTGGCGCGTGGCGCGACTGTAAATTATGACGGGAAAAAATTCACGTATCCGGTCGCTGATGAGTGGCCGGGATTCTCAACAGTAATGGAGTGGACATGATGGCAAAAATTCACGAGGTAAAGCTGCACGCAAAATATTTCGACCTTGTGCTGGAAGGAAAGAAACGCGCAGAGTTTCGGAAAAATGACCGTAATTATGAGCGCGGGGACACGTTGATTTTGCATGAATGGGTGCAGGGTGTGTATACGGGGCGAAAGGTTGAAGCCCGGATAACAGATGTTACTGACCTGTCAGACTGGCTGGAAGATTATGTCTTGCTGAGTATTGAGCAGCTTAATACAGGCGCATATGAGATTGTGAACTGGAAAGAACTTAGTGAGCGTGGTCTGGTATTCAGAATTAATCATGAAATTATGCATCAGCTCGGCCTTGCTGTTATGTATGAACCAGAGACGGGGATGTCTGGCGGGGCAATGGTTGCCACGGATGGAGCATGGAACTATTCAGATGAACAGATTGAGCGTGCAAAGCAAAACGGGTGGCTTGGATAATGCACAGAATACCAGGCGAGATACCGCAACATAACACTAAAAATATCAAGCTGATGGCTATTGTTCACCGTCTACAGCAGATTATGGTCAACGAAAATCTGACGCCCGACGAGTTGGTCGGGTGTGCCGAAATAGTCCGGGATAATTACGTGCGGTTTAACGATATAGAACAGTCTAAAATTGCACTGCTACCACGTTGTTGATAGAAAACCCCAGCAGTACTGAAACATGCTTCCAGTGCTGCTGGAGGGAACAACGAACAGCGCGAGGTGGTAGTTGGCCGTCATTTGAGTATCAGCATATGATTGGATTTATAACGGTTGGAAAGATTAATGTTGGTGAACTAATAAATTACAAATATTCACAAGAAGATCTTATGTTACTAACATGAGTTTATGTGTAATATAGCTGTACATACCAATATCCGCTGTACCTTTGTTTTTATTTGGTTTGTCAGGTGTCACAGGTATGGTTGGCGTATGAGAATGGTTTATTTAAATTAAATATTGATTAAGGTTGAAAGAATGTCATGAATAAAAGTAAAGCAATCTCAAGAATAGAGAGAGTGTTGAGAAGATTAAAGGATGGGAGTTTCACTGATAGTGATATTGATGTTCTTTTTGTTACGGCCCGTGAGTTGCCGAGTGCGCCCAAGTGTATTTTTGAAATTGGGAGTTTTGTTGCCCATAATCATCGGAGAGATCAAGGCGAGATAAAGGATATCATGCTGAGGAATCATTTGTTATTAAGTTTAAAATTTGGACGCGACAAGTATGCTGTTAAACCAGAGTTAAATGAATACCCGAAATACTTACCTACATTAATCAGACTGCAATTAAGAATGTTCAGTGATGAGTTTTTAAAGGAGAAGTTAAACTTAAAGGGGGGACAGGTAATTACAGCGAGGAAGAAGCTTAATAACAAAAAATCGTATATTGTTAATGATGGTGTTTGTAAGTTAACATCAGAAATTGGTTCCAATGAAGGGCGAATGATTAATGAAGCTTTGTCGTTACTCAATTGTTCTGACGCAATTAAGTTCGACTCTTTATTTAATGAGCTGAAAATATTGCTTCGGAAGGCGATTCCAGGGGTGGACTTGATGCCGCTTGATAATAACAGGAGAGCAATAGCAGGCATCTTACTGTGTTTGTTGAATAATATTGATTTTTCTCTGATGCCTGAAGTCAAAGCAAAAACAGTCCTTAGTCTTAATGATGCAGATGAATCTGCAAATGTTTATGGTCAATATTATATAACACATGAAAAAGAGCCATTCACCGACGTGGCTATCATGAGCCCAGTGTTTCAGTCGGGGTATGATGTTAGTGACCTTTTTGATGAGCATGTGACAAATGAAAATATCGTAAATGGGGATGTCGAATTTAGTTTTGATTTGGGGAAAAT